GGCGTCGCCGTCGCCGTCGGCGTAACCAAGGTCATCCCAAGGTCACGTGACCCCTCCAGGTCACGTGACCCCTCCCAAGGTCATCTCAAGGTCACGTGACCCCACGTGACTCCCAAGGTCACGTGACCCCTCGAGGTCACGTGACCCCTCCCAAGGTCATCTCAAGGTCACGTGACCCCGACCCCACGTGACCCTTTGAAGGTCACGTGACCCCCGTCACGTGACCCCTCTGAGGTCACGTGACCCCCGAGGTCACGTGGTCTCCTCCCCAAGGTCACGTGACCCCCAAGGTCACGTGACCCCTCCTAAGGTCATCTCAAGGTCACGTGACCCCAAGGTGACCCCCACGTGACCCCCAGGTCACGTGACCCCTCTGAGGTCACGTGACCCCCCTCCCCGAAGTCACGTGACACCCCCCCCCCCCCGAGGTCACGTGACCGCCCCCCCGGAGCATATTAAAGAATGAGGGGAGGAGGAGGGGTCTACCCTCCCCTCAGTACCCTTCACTCCTCCTCCTCAAGAGCTGCGCTCCAATTCGGCGTTACAGGGATTTGTAAACGGCTTTCACTTTTTTTTTTGCTCCACACAATGACAGTCGCAGGGAACAAAATCGAGAAGAACAAGCAGGCTTCATTCCTTCAACTCGCAGCCAGAACGAGCTACCGCGTGATCTGAAGACGACGCGCCGAGAAAGTGAGGGAGAGGAGAGAGAGAGGACCTCAGAACGCCGAGCTCTCATTGGAAGGATTAGTGGGTAGACCTAAAGCTAGCTGCCTTTGTCTACACTGCGCTCGTCGAACACGTTCGAATGCGAAAACCAAACTAAGGACGCCGGCGTTCCGCGTTCTAACCCGTTCGAAGAGTGCAGGGGATGCAAAGGCCTTAGCGGTACCCACTAATCGCTCCAATCGGAGCTCGGCGTTCTGACGTCCCAGCTTGCTCGCTTCTTCTCCTCTCACTCAGTTTCGGGGCGAATTACACGCCGTCGATGTTCATTTTTAACACGTGCTCGAGGTTGGCAAAGCACGGGGCACGCGCTAGTTCCACACGCTGTCAAAAAATTGGGTTGTGTCTGTGTTTATACAGCCTAGAACTTGGTCTGCCTCACAGGGGCGACGAGTCTCCCAGCTGTAGATGAGAAATTTAGCCAGTGCGGTACAGCCGCTAGCCTGGGGTCTTTAACGTGCATCACGCAGTAGTGATACACGACCGCACGCCGGTACGATGCTCATCCAGATCGAAACGGGCAGGGGTGGGGCTCGAACCCAGGATCCCTGGGTTCTGCAGCGCGAGCTTTCGCTCCACGTGCTCCGAGCTGGTGTGCGCTAGACCACTCGGCCACCGATCCCTTTTTTTTTTTTTTTTTTTTATTGCATGGGAATTTTTACAAGTGGCATAACATGTTGATACTTATGGATATATACAGTTACGAGACATTCACTTTCACACCATATTTACATACCAATGTCGCACACACACCTTATATTTGGCATCTTGAACATGTGGCCAGTAGGTGTTATAAATTTAGACACAGAAATATCATCAACAAGTGTAATACAATGGTTACGAAAATATATATCATCAATAGAGCTTTTCAGAAATCTGGGAGACCAAGACATGCATCGAAGAAGGCAAACCACTCTGGTTGACTGACAGGTGAAGCGTATACGCTCCTCACTTGCGCTACCTGTTCCAGAAAAAGCGATTTCGTTGTACGGGGTTTCTCTGCATGTCTGTCGATCATGCGACATTTCCAGAGACTATGAAGTCCCAACAGGGCGAACATGTCGTACGGGACGGTTTCGTTTTCAGCGAACGGGAGGAAGCGGAGACTGTAGTCATTAAGTATTAGATCTTTTTTTAGCGTGCGTTGCAGAACATCCCAGAATAAAAAGGCATCGGTGCAGTAAATAAAACAGTGCTCTATGGTTTCTGGCTTGTTACAGAGTCTGCAATTAACAGTCCACGGTACAAATATTCCTTTTTCCTGGAGGTAAGTTTTTACTGGTAAGGTTGATGTATGCAATTTGAAGAAGAATGTCTTGGTTGAGGGAGGCACGCCCATTTTTTTTACTCGTTTGAAAACATCATTGATGGGTTCTAACGTGAAACGGGTACGATAAAGTGGTAGAGGAAACAAACTTTCCGTAATGTTCCTCGACAGTGTCTTCCTCGACAGACTAAACAAATATTCCAATGAAAACCGTGTTTTCAGAAAATTGAAGGTATCGACGACTTCCTTTAAAAATCCCCAGGGCCTATTTTTCGACGTTTCGCCCGTTGAAACAACGAGATAACCTAAACTCTCGGCAAGGCGTGATTGAAGTATGACCCTAAGGAAATTGTGATTGGCATTTTTAAAGAAAAAGAATCTTGATACCAACTGGCGGACAAAAATATGACCTAGGCCTAAACCACCAGATTCGAGAGGGAGGAAAAGGTTGTCCCTTTTTACACGTTCCCACGTTGAGCACCATATCAAAGTGGCAAATATTCGATGAAATTTTTGGATGTCTGTTCGAGCGCAATGGAGCACTTGAAGAACGTACATAAGCTTCGAAGCAAGGAATATATTGCAGACACTTGCTCTAGTAAAAATGGAAATGTCTCTACCTTTCCACGCATCAGCCTTCCTTTTCAGTGTGGTCGCAAGGGAGGTCCAGTACGTCGAGCTACCACGAATTTGTGAGAGCGGTACTCCGAGGTATGTGATCGGACCCTGATTCCACGCTATCCCCGCAAAAAACCGTGGTTTTGTGGCCCAGGAACCGTACCAGAAGCCATTACATTTTGATGGATTCACCGAAGCCCCTGTGATTGCGCAGTAACGCGCTGTTTGATCAAGCGCTTTCTCGACACTCGTCTTGTCAACGCAAAAAAAATCCAACATCGTCTGCGTACGCGAGGACTTTTACCTCAACATTTGCCACGGAGTACCCACGAATACATTCTGTTTTCAGGATGCTAAGGCATAAGGGCTCTAAATACAATGCAAAAAGGAGAGGAGAGAGAGGGCAACCCTGCCTTACGGAAGATTTGATCTTAATTTCATCAGAAAGTGTGTTATTGATTTTCAGTCGTGTCGAACTATGCATGTAGCAAAGTCGGATTCCTTCCAGAAGTGTCTCTCCCAAGTTTACGTGCTCAAGAAGGGCAAATAAAAATGAATGACTCACACGGTCAAAGGCTTTTGTGAGGTCTATTTGTACAAGTGCAACCTGGTCATTATTGTCTGACGCAGACTCTAGGACGGAGCGGGCAACATGTACGTTCGTTTGGATAGATCTGCCGCGTATCCCACAAGTTTGGTGCTCCCCTACCAGTTTTTCTATTACGCACTGAAGTCTTTCATTGAGCACTTTAGCGTAAATTTTATAATCTACGTTGCAAAGTGATATTGGTCAGTAGTTTTCCATCTTTTTAAGCATTTCCGGGTCTTTTGTTTTTGGCAGCAATACCGTGTGTCCACAGTAAAATGAAGGGGGAAGAGTTTTCTGTATGTAGGATTCTTGAAATACAGCCAGTAAAGCAGGAGATATAATGTCTTGGAACTTTTTGTAAAATTCACCGCTTAGTCCATCCGGTCCTGGTGTTTTCCCATTTGGGAGAGATTTAATTGCGGCCTTAATTTCGTTTAATGTTATAGGGCCTTCAATTAGATTGCGATCTTCCTCGTCAAGTTTTGGCATTTGTGCTAGTAGCTGTTCTATCTCAGTCTTCTCTTTCGTGACTATTACTGTTCCAAAAATATTTGTGTAGAAGTGGTGAAAAGATTTCACTATATCAGTGGCATCGGTGAGTATCAATCCATCTTTGTTGATTTCTACTATTTCCTTTGACAGTGCGTTGCGCCTTTCGTCGTCCAGAGATCTTTTTGTAGGTTGTTCGCCGAGGAGAAAGCGTTTCTTCCGCGAGCGAATTAATGCTCCGCGGTACCTTTCGGTTTCATATTTTTGAAGCTGGGCTCGTACTATGTTAATATCGTCGCTGTACGCGCCTGGATTTAAGCATTCAAGCTCGTGCAGGGTTACTAAATCTTTAAAAAGGTCTCGCTGCTGTTGTTTGTTCATATATGATGCAATTGTAGAGCGTTCGATTGCGATGTTTTTTACTTCTTGCTTGAAACTATCCCATTTTGCAAAGATGTGCATGCCAATGTTTTGCAGTGTATTCGACAAAAGTAAGGAGATGTTGGTTGAAAATTGCTCATCGCTTAGAAGCCTCAGGTTGAGCTTCCAGTGTTCCCACTGCCGATGAACACCTCGGAGTCTGCGGGGCCCAAAGCAGACTGATACCAGGCAATGATCAGAAAAGAAAACTGGTTTGACTTGATAATTACTCATTGAGTCGATTATATCACCTGAGACGTATATTCTGTCTAAACGTGCGTGAGACGTTCCTTGGAAATGGGTGTAGCGTATCGATTCACCTTTTTTGTAAGCTACATCAACAAGGTTATGGTCTTGAAGCGTGCCCCGTAGAGCGGCGGCACTTCCGTCATACCTTGTTTGTGACACCGATCGGTCGTCTGCACTACAAACGCAGTTAAAATCTCCCATTGCAACTATCGTTCTGTTTGTGTTGAAAAGCGGCGAAACAAGTTCAAAGAATGATGTTCTTTCTCTAGGCGTATTTGGAGCATACAGGCAAATAAAACGCCAATCTATCTGCCTAAAACAAATGTCGCAAGAAATAAGACGCCCTTCCAGGTCATTAAGAATGGAAGCTGATGATAGCTCAAGCTGTTTACGGAAAAAAAGAAAACATCCGGCAGAGACTCCTTTGGCTTGGCTAATGCAGATTTCGTAATCCTTAAGAAAAGGTTCTAACGCTTCAGCAATGCCTTCATCTGTAGATAATTTTGTCTCCTGTACTGCCGCAACGTCAACTTTCTCCTTTTCAAAAAGACGCAACAGCTGAAACTGCTTCCTTCTAGACCCTAAACCTCTAACATTTAGCGTTAGAATATGTAATGGAAGGGCGGGATACATCAGGACATTTTAGTGGTTGTTCTCGGTACCCTGGAGGTTCCCCAGCAGCTTGGAGTACGGCTTGTGCCGTATCCCAGCCGGCTGGCGGTCTTTCTTGGACCTCTTGGAAGGGAGCTCGTCAGCAGAGGAACTTTTGGTCGGGAGGGGCGTTGAGGTTCCTTCTGGTTCATCAGATGGTCTCGACGTCTCAGAGGCCCGTGCGATGAATGTGGGTTCCGCGTCCACCTCGTCATGGTCTTTGTCGCACTCTGTAACGACTTCGCCGACAATCGTTGACTCTGATGATGAGGATGACGTGTCGTCCTCGTCCGGCGGTGGTGGCTCCGGGAGGCCCCCAGGGTCATCCTTGCATTCGTTGATGGCAGGTGCTGCTCTTTGGTGTTCCTGTTCCACGAACTTTTCGATCGTTGATGCCGGTGGTGTGTGCCCCGAGGCGTCGAGGACCTCCGTGACATCCATCAGCAGCTCACTTTGTTCTTCGGCCTCTTGGGTTCTCGGTCCAAGGAGCTTACTTGCATACGTCGTGACGCAAGTATCAGTCGTGTGTCCGTATCTCCCACATTTGAAGCAGCGGGGGGTCTTGCACTGTCGTCGTACATGCCCCACTCTGTTACACCTTAGGCATAGAGGTGGACGTCCTGGCACGAGTAGGAGGCACTGACATCCAAAAATCTTCAAGAGATGTGGCACCTTCTCAATCGTGATGTCGTCGTGAAGTGTGATGTTCACTTCTCTGTTTAAAGTGTCCATATGTTCCATGCCGGGGCATCTCCATTTTTCCCGGCTTATGCTCCGCACGGTTCCATAGGCCTGCAAGGCCTCAGCGACGCGTCGGTCTTCAAGATGGTCTGGTAGCCAAATGATTTTTATCTTGATGTCACGAGTGTCTGGGTCTATAACCAGACATTTTCGTCCTTTCACGAGAACCTCTCTTTGTTGACACAGTTTCGCTTTCGCGAGCGCGTTTGTGCAGGTGACCATCCAAATGTGACTCATTTGGTATTGTCCGGTTGCCTTTACATCTTGGAGATCTATTACGTCTTTCAGGGCGTCGCGAAAGTCTGGCGCTGAGTAAGGCCTAGCGCTTATGTCTGCATGCAGGAATACGGAGTTTAAAATCAGGTTGCCGGTCGGAAAACGGGGAAGGATTACCTTGTAGTCGCTTGTACTGTTGTCGGACGATACGGGATTAACTCGGCCAGTGGCCGATACGGTGTTTCCACCAGACATCATGTTTCTTGCTGCCGTTCCGAACGGCTTCTTCTTCCTCCTCTCGGCCACCGATCCCCGCACACGCTGTCAAGTTTCAGCTATTCCTGTCATTTCAACGATTAGACGCGAGACACCAGCCGAATGCATGTCGAGGCATGAATTGTCACGAGCCCAAATCGAATGCTTACGCACGGCTCGTGTCCACTGACCGAGCCGAATTTAAAATATCCCCACCGCGGGAGATCGCAAAGCTTAATGACAAACACCATCGGGATCGCAGTGTTGACAACGCCAAAAATTCGATACCCACAACTTCGTCTTCATGTTGTGCGAAGGAGAGACTGAAAGAAAGCGTCAGCTACTATCCTTGAAATTACGCGGCGACGAAGAAACTTCTTGGTCAGTGGCGTTGCGTGCGGGTACACTTGGATCTTACTAATGCCAGTAAGCTTGTCTAATGTGAGAAACATTCGTACTCAATAGAGCGCTATGCGTTTGCGTTACCGTTGCGTGCTCTAGCCTGCGCATGCGCGTCGTCGCTGTTCGCCGATCCAAGACGCAGTTTGAAGTTCCGCGCACGCTCAGTGCGGAACACGCAACGCTAACGCAAAGGCCAAGTGCTTGCGTTTGCACGTATTCGTAATACTAAAACTAACTAATAGCAAGTTTTAGAATAGGGGGCCACAAGGCTTTGGGTGCCCCAAACAGCCCGGGGCATCGCAATGGGCATGCGCAGAAGTTCTGCGCATGCTCAGTGGGACGCCCCAAGCTGTTTGAGGCACCCAAAGCTGTGGGGCCCCCTATTTTAAAACTTGCTAATATCGTGGCACAACCCGTTACGTATCCGCAGTAATCCGAGAGAACGCGGGACGAAATACACTCACCGAGTTCACCGATGGCGTAAACTTCCGCTCGGATTTACGCGATACAGTTCTCGTTGCGCACTCAGTTGACACTGAGCCGGAAATGTTGCGATTGCGGGCGGCTACATGTACTGCACCGTTCCAACAAGAGGCCGTTGCTTAGGCGACAGGGCGGACAGGTGGACGACGGCGTGCATACATCCTGTCACTTGTGGAACTATTAGAGGTCACTGAAATATGTTATAGAAGACGCTAGCAAGCGCTCGTGTTGCCTTGCTGCGCTTCGCTCCAGGAGGTGCCTAGTAGCGCACGACATGTTTCGGTAAATCTTTCTTATAGTACCGATCTGTGACGTCACGACTAAGATTATCGATTTCCAGCGACAACTCCGGTGTTGAGTGTGGCGCTAAAAGCATGGTGGAAACTTGTATTTGCCCTTTTTTTCTGGGCAATAAACTCAGTGGCGCAATCTATTGAGTAGCAACCGGCACGCTTCGGATTCACGTAATTTTTCTAAATTTTTACTCAACGTTTTTTTATTGTAAGAGTGAATGAAGTCTGACAGTGCTATAAGTGGCAATTTCCAGAAGATAGGTGCATATTTATTTGGCAAATACTGCAAAACCCCCCGTCTAGATTAGAAGCGGAAGTGGTCGGGGCCATTTGCCCACTGGCGCCACCACTTTTAAAGTCACGCGAGGAAGAACGAATACTTCGTTTCACCTTACGTCAACGTTACTAAAACACTAAGTTGGGAAACTCACCTTCGAAACCCGGGCGACTGTCGTTCACCTAGACCGAGCTAAATACGATAAGAGCGCCACCCATTAGCGACAAGTTGAAACATAAAATTTGCCTTATATGCCAATGCTAGAGTCAGTAAATATTCTTAGAGTACCCAAACTTCCGCGTCGATGTGCCAAGATGGCGGCTCAATCTTTTTTTCTTTACTGTAGTCACCTTGAGCTTTTAGAAAGCATGTTTTTGCGTAAAAACAAACGTAAAAATTATTTTTGTAAGTACGTTCATTGGAGATTAGTACAAAACAACAGGCGCGTGATGTTTTCTAAAATCTTTAGTCTAGAAGGTTTTCCGGCACAATTAGTATTGTTTTTATACAACCATGTCTCACCTCTGATTTCAGGTAGCGCGTCCCAACCTGGGCGCGTGCCAACTTTGATAGTAATTCGCGGCGCGTCCGCTGGGGAAACGGGGGTTGGCATCCCTGAAACCCGTACGCTGTAAAGTTTCGGCGCCAAAATGGCCTATTGAAGCAGCCGTGTAGTTCCCCGAATGGCCGCTGCGGGAGGAAAGGCGGATCGCCATTAGCTAGGTTCTCGAGTACGGCTCGGTGCCACATTTTTAGAGGAGGCTCTATGGCAGTTTCCCAATTGAGTTGTTCTAGTAACGTTGGACCCAGTGGACGTAAAGGCCTGAACACACTAGCGGCAACGGCGCCGCCGGTCGGCGCCGCTGGGTGGCACTACCGTCCGGCGGCGAGCAGGCCACATTGGGCTCCGTTTTGTGGGCGTTATAGTCACATGACAGCACTGGCTTTCGCGTTCTCGCAATCGCACTCGCAATTCCGCCAGATTTCCTGTGCTTTCGTCGTCTGCTTTTCGTTAGATTCTTGCGTTTCGGCTCTCATTTTTTGCATATATCGGATCGAAACCGCACCCGCTACCTACGTCGTAAGTGTCGATGATGACCTGGTGATTAGCGTGAATGTGATCATCCTAGCCTGCTCGTTGGTCTTGCGACGTCGCCGCGCTCTGAAGAGAAGGAGTCGCAGGTTATTGTTCCGGCCGATTTGGTGCTACCGAAACACCGAGGGACAGGTCAGTGCTTTGCTGCCCCGGCTGCGCGCCAGAGATGAAGATTACTTTCGAGAATGTCACCAAATCAACACGACATCCGTCGCAGCGAAGGCGACATGCGACAAGTGTAGCGGAGAAACTCACCTGTGATCTCGAATTCACCTCCGATAACTGCATAGCGGTTGTTCTTAGCGTCCCTCTCTATAGGTAGTCTGGCATCGTCTTTTCATACAAAAAGGAGAAAAGTCGCACAGTTTGGAGGAACTTCTCTGTTCGGAAAAGCATCGGGGGAAATAGGGATTGCAGACGAAACGAAATTACGCTACGCTCCTTCGCAACGTGAAAGACGCGCGGAGAAGCGGCTTGCGTGTTGCTATGGCATCGCAACGTCACTATCTACGCCACTTTTCACTGGCTTCTTTCTTCTGCACCAAGAAACTGCGAGCCCTCAACCGCGCGTGGGGTGGTTGCCTGGACGGCGCCGAGCGGCGAGCCGTTGATGGAGAAAGCTGGTTTTGGCCGGCAGCCTGCGGCGGCCAGCGGCGCGCGGCAAGCCTCCGCGACGCTAGTGTGGTCGGGCCTTAACGGTCGATTGCGGCTAACGGAATGACCGGAAACGCTCGGCTTATGCTCGGTCGTGAGTTGTCTGTCGGCGAACACTCCCGTTCGAGGTGTCAAAGATCGCCGAGCACTATCAATGTCAGGGGCATAGCACGGGCTCTGAGAAATGCTTTAGGCGCCTAGTGATAACCAAGAGTGGCACAAGCAATAACAAAAATAAAAAAAGAACCCCCAAAGCTCGAGGAAAAAAAATCACATGTCTTATTTTAGGACCATCAGGGCTGAAGTTTAAATATCATTCGCAGTAATATAAAAAAATGGTTCTTAATCTCTTTGCTTCGGAGTGACAACCACGAAGGAACCTCAGTGAAAAGAAGTTAGGGATGTTCAATGAGCAGTGTTAGGACATGTAGCCGCAACGAATTAGTGCTTTATTTTTTGTTTTTGATTTTTTAGTCTCAATTGACTGCTCGTTCTTACTCAAAAGGACGCTTATTATTATCATTATCGTCCTTAATAATATTTATTATTATTATTATTGTTATCATTGGGTATATGTGGCAACCGGCGACGGGGCGGGCATTATCAGGATGCTATGCCCCAGCCATATATATATCCTTCTGCCCGAGCGCACTTACGGTGAAACATGATGTACACGTGTCCCTGGCTCCACTTGGTGCAGTTTAGTGCAGCTGAGGGTGCACCGAAAAGATGATCGTCACACGAACGCTCCCCCAAGTACAGATGCACAGTGAGCGCACCATGCACTCTACATTGGTACAAACGGTACAACGTGGCGATTCGACGATCTGTCGTTTAAAACGGACGATGGCAGTCTGCATAATCATTTATCTGCGCTTCTGTAGTCACTGTCAGTTTAAGTGACGCAGGGCGTGGCGAGTATTTTAAGCATCTCATTTTGGCTCCGCAGCCAGTGAGAATGGAGCATGGGCCATTTAAGAAAGCCGAAGAACCAATCATGGAGCAAGAAGCGCGTGAACGTGATGAGCGACGCTCTGCTTTCTTCAAGCTTTCAATGACCCCTCTGCGGGCTTATTTGTCACATGCCGTCTCACAGGTTCGTCCGCTCTGCAAAATAGTCCCTGTCCGAGTTCGTTGCCATAATTGTACGAGTTTATCCAGCGCAGTGAATCTTACTATTTCCGACAAAATAAAATAAAAATGTCATCCGCTCTGAAAAAAAAAAAGTAATTGAAAGTCTTTTTTTTCTTTTTTGTAATAAGGACAATAATTTATGCAGCGCAGTGAAATTTATAGTTTCCGCCAAGATAAAATAGAAAAGGCATCCGCTCAAAAAGTTGTCCTAGAAAAAGTTAGCCGAAGTAATGATTTTTATAGCGCGGTGAAACGTACTAGTTCTGACAAGATAAATGAGAAATGTCATCCGCCATGAAAAATAGTCCGCGCGAAAATTCGCCCTCATAAAAGTTAGGGTTTATGCGGCGCGATACAATTCACTATATTCGAGAAGATTAATTAGACATATATCTAATAGAAACAATACTGTTTAGATATACCGCGAGATTCGAGAACCGGCCGCAACCACAAAATAATTAGAATGCTGTGTGTATGCGTATACATCTGGAACTTAGACTCAATGGGCGTATGTGTCTCAGCCGTCGACAAGAAATTTAACCAGTGCAGTACAACCACTAGCCTGGGTATTTAACGTGCATCACGCAGTAGTGAAGCACGACCCAACGCCGGTACGACGCCCATCCAGATCAAAAAGGGCGGGCAAGGTTTGAGAATTGAACCC